TTTGGGGGGGGGGGGGGGGGGTGGGGGTTGAATATACCAAATTTGAAATTGTTTTCAACAAATAAATGCATAAGGAAGGATTAATACACTTTTTAGTTTTTAATTAGTTGTGAGCATGCTTTGTCTTTTGAAGTCTTTCGTTAGATTGATTTTAACGAGTAGTCGCATTATGCCGTTGACATACCAAAACTTGTAAAGGAGATCAGAGAGAGTGAATTTTCATTGGGAAGAGAGTCGCTCTCATTTTTTTGTGTGCTTGTTTTGTTGACAGCACACATTCTTAAACATTTAAAATGAGAGAAAACTTTAGAATCAATGTACGTCTGTCCTTTCACACTATCAATTTTTGTGCACGAGAAATTCATTTGTGGGTGGGTTTTGATAAAGGTTGCGGGTTTGGATTTTCTTCAATTTCAGAATTGAGAGAGAGCTTTTGTTGGTTTTGAAATCTTTGTATCTTTACTGTATTATATTATTACTCGTAGATATAGCCCATATGGGTGATCAACGTTAGATATTTGGTGTCTTGATCATTTCTTTGTGCTTCTATGAATCAACGTTGTTGTTTGGTTTTCTTCTTCTCTTTTTTGTCTTCTACTATCATAACTAATATCAAGAGCTACCAAGATTTAGGAGCTATTGGTGGGTTTGATTGAGAATAGAGAAATTAGATTGTCGAAGTTTTGTGGAGAATGTTCTTTCTCTAGTCACCACCTAGAAAATTTCCATCGAACAAGTTGTCACATAGCATTAAGATTGGGAGGAAGGAAGAAAGGGAAACGTTCTGTTAAGATTAAATTTTGTTCCTTCAACTGTTTGTTTTGGTTCCATGAGAGAAGAAATGTCCCAAAAGTACTGGGACTCATATTTGCAATCCATCCAAAATGTACGAAAGCCAGAGGGGGAGTTGTTCCTTTTATATAAAATGACCAATTATTCTTTTACATGACAAAATCAATTAACCAGTTATCGTTGAAGGAAAAATCTTCCTTGAAGGATCATTTGCATAGGTTGAACTCAATGATAATTGGTTTGCACAACAAAGACATCTTGATTGATGATGAAGATGCTGCAATGGTATTGTTGGTATGTTTCGTTACCTCCATCATATGAGAAATTCATAAATGTTATCAACATGGGTAAAAGATAATATCACATAGGAAGAAGTGAGGGAGAGCCTTCATGAAAGAAAACTTTGATAGAAGCCATTTGACACTGAGGAGGTGCAAATTGCTTCTCTTCATTACTATCTAATGGTTGGCAAGAAATGTAATGGTGTCATATCACCCAGCATATTGACGGTTGTATGGAAAAGACTACATGCCCCACATCATGCATGATTTTATTTCATGTGACTAATTAGATTTATTTATTTTTATAACTATGTTATTAATACAAAATATCTATTAATTTTATTGATAATTATTATCTGTTAGAGAACTTGAATGTTATTTATTTTAAACCTAAAAATTGATTCTAGTGCTATATAATAAAAAAAATACACATCAAAATATGTAATTCAAATTAATTTACACAAACATCACAATCACATTCAACAGTTCAAAACCAATTCTGCCAAACTCCAAACCAAACTGTTACCAAAAACTACAAACCAAACAGATAACAGGTGTAGATAGTAGTGGACATTGTTGTCAACATGTATATAAAAATTCTTGATTAAGAATTATGAATTGGTGGCAAAGCCTCAAGCACCTGTGGTGCATATAGATATGTGTTGGAGTAGGTAGATTTCTGATTGAACATCCTAATCCAGATGTGAGGTTCCATCAGTGAGGTTAGTCTACTTACATGAAACTTCAGAATTTTTCTTCGGTTCTCATTGTAAAGAAAAGCATGATTCCTTCTCCTTATAGTTAATTTTTCGACCGTTCTCATTGTTACTTAAAGCATGATTCTTTCTCCTTCACAGTTATTTTTTTAACAAACACACTCGCAAACACTAAGTGTGATTGTACTTTGTATACAAGTTAAAAGTATTTTTTAAAACTTTTTTTATTGAAAAAAACTCTTTATTTAATTATTTTCAATAGAAAATTTTTCAAAAATACTTATAATATTGTATTCAAACAAGATCTAAGTAATAGAAGCATCTTAAGAAATATTAGACATTGGGGTAAATGAAACATGAATTGCATATATTTACAATAACGTAAAAGTTGAATTACATTTGAACATCATCTATGCAACGAACAGTTGATTGTAGAACTTAATCAACAAACATTCCAAGCAACATCAGTATGACCAATGAAGGGTAAAAAAATTTAACAGGAGAAAATTCCTTCTTGTACATATCCTAATCCTGAATGAGATAACGTCATCAGGAATTTGAACACATTAACTAGTCAAACCTTTAAACCCTGTTCCTCATTGCTCATCATATGAAATTGGCGCAACCACACGTCTCATCAGAGAAAGAAAAATAACATCAACCATACCAAGTGCCTGCGCAAATGAATTGCTACTGGGACTCCCAGCAACCAAAAGGAGATGCTTTGGATGCTCCATGTTTTCTGTTACAAAGGTAAATGCAGTTTCTCATGATGTGGCAATGCTAGCTCTCAGAACTCTTGTGCGCTGAAGCCTGGTGTTGATGGATACTCAAGGCCCTGAAGAACAGGCATCCTTCTTATATCTTCTTCTGAATAAGCAGGGATGAACCAGTACCCCTTGTCCATCCCAAACACCTGGTACCACCACAGAACCATAAATCATATAATGTAGAAACTTCAAAATTCTGAACTTGTTCAAAAATGATTTAATGTAACAAGCATGGAGAATTAAAATGAACATATTATCTCAGAAGAAATATAAAACACTATTTTCTTTATCTTCTGAAGTTATAAGAGAGAGCATCTTAATTCTCAAATATCAAGGCATGGCTGCAGTGGAAGTTTAACATAATCTCTTGGAAGTTTCAAACCTTGCAAATTTTTTATTATATTATTTCCATTTCCACATCTTGATACTCCAAAACTCCTTAGCTTCACACACATAAAGCAACTGAGATACTAAATATTCATGTGGGTCAATAAATGCACATACATATATTTTACCATACACACCACAAATCAATAGTTTTGCCTGGAAGAAATAAACTTAAGCCTTGTTTACATAAATTTCTTAACGAACACGTATAGGAGAAGGTAAAGGAACTAAACTTCTCCCATAAATTAAATTTGAACTTTTATGAAAGTTCTCCCTTTTAAATTCTTCAAAAACTGATTTTAACTTACGTATAAACTAATCTACTCCTAAATAATAAACATGAATCTTCATCTCAAATGAGTGTTTTCAAGAGTCATTGTCATTCTTCAATAAGAATGTTTTCAAGATTTTTTTTTTATATGAGTGTGTTTATGAGAATTATTATTGCTCTCATTGAGCCAACATGTCTTATCCTAATCTCACATATTGGGTATTTAGTTCTAAATTAAATTTCAATATTTTCTTAAAATAAATTATCAATAACTATAAGTAACCTTGTATAGCTGCTATCACAATGTAAATTACTTATCATAAATCTAAAATATAATTATATATTCAAAAAGTATTTATATATTATAAAATTTAGTTATAGAAAAATAATCATTTATCTTGTACATTGCATAGGCCATAAATATTGGTTTTAACCATGGTAGTAAGAATCGCACGATACGCGATATGTATCGCACGATACGATACGATACGGAGCCTCTGCGATTCGAATCGCATGTGGAATCGTTTTTGATTACGAATCATAAAATAATATAAAACACCTTTCCTCCTTTTTATTAAATAACATGAGCATAATCCTTCATAAATACCTTTCATAAAAATACATTCTATATCACTAATGAAAATAATAAATTACAATTAATGTTTTATAATAAAAATAGTGCTTATATCAATAATTAAATGATACCAAAAATCCCTTAATAAATATATTAAAATATTGAAATAATTTTCTAAAATATCATTAATATAATTTATGAAAATTGGGGTGTTACAACAAGTTGCATTCTTATCTTTCAAGAGACTTATTTGTAATCATCAAAATCAATTAAGACTATGTCTTATCTTAAGCTTGATCAACAACGTTGATGTAGCCCTTTTCTCCCACCAGTTGAGTTTTGGTTCAAGAATTTGCGTCCTAAATGATTAAGGTAACTTTATTTAGGCAAAATCCACTCTATACCAGGCGCTTCCACCTACACATAAGGCAGAAGCTCATAGTCTTCTAGAAGCTTTAACCTAGATTTAAGAGGATGGACTCCATGATATCTTCATTAAGCTAGATTGCAAATTTATGGTTGACATGCTAGCAAGAGCACCTCCATTTTAAACAAAAGTTGGTACGCTTCTAGCTTGTTGTAGAGCTATTCTATCTATTTCTCAAACCTATGTGGTCAGTTTAATTATGGAACAAGCTAATAGGATTGCTTATACTTTAGCTAGAGCATCCATTTTTCATGCTAGTCACCATGTTTATGATTTGATTTCCATTTGTATTGAATATCTTAATATGAAGAAAATGATATAATTTTCTTCTTGTAAAAGAAAAGTTGTAAAGGCACAAAACAAAGCTTAAACTTTTAAATTGAACCACACTTCATAACTTGATCTCTACAACAAAATTAAGTGTCAAGTAAAATTTTATAATGCATTAAAATATAACTAGATAATAACATACAAATTTAAATTATCGAGGATAAATGTCACTCATAGACATTTCATTGATAGAGAATGATGTGGAATAGTTGGTAATTCGCCTCGAACTTGCATGTGCAACAATTGGATCCATTTTATTATGCAAGAAAAATGTCGGTTCTTTTGGAGAAGGCAATTCAACTAAGTTACTAATGAGATATGAGACAATTGTCATCATCGAAGGTCTATCATTTGGATAATCTTGAACACATAATAAACCAATTTGAATACATTTAATGACTTCAATGTGAGAATGATCTTCTTTTAATTTTGGGTCCAATGTGTTCAATGGTGTTTCATTCATCCAGTGTCTCCAAACCTGTAACAATTTGTTAGCTTGGTCAAACCATTACACTTCCTTACTTTTAGATTGATTTAATGATATATTAATCATGATTAAAAATAAAACCAAAAATATTGTAAAATCATTGTACTCACAAAGTTTCGAAGACCATCATCAACATGGTGTGGCTCATATGAACCTAGGTTCTTTCTTCCACTAATAATCTCAAAAATCATAACCCCAAAACTGTAAACATCTGATTTCTCAGAAAATTGTCCAAACATAGCATATTCAGGAGACATATAGCCATTGTAAAATAATGAAAAATTACAAATTAGTTTAAAAAATATCATACAAAGAATTAGAAATGTAGGAATAAGTATTTGAAAACTTACTATGTTCCAATAACTCTCTTTGTACTTCCTTCTTGTTGATCTATTTCAACAATTTTAGCAAGACCAAAATCTGAAATTTTTGGATTCATATCTTTGTCTAATAGTACATTACTAGGTTTAATATCACGATGTATAACTTTAAGTCGAGAATGTTCATGTAAATATAAAATTCCTCGAGCAATCTCTTGTATAATTTTGTAACGCTCAGACCACCTCAAAACCTTTTCTAATTCAGTATCTACAAGAAATATTCATCATGTGAGAAAAATTAAGTGATGCATGTCTTGTAGTTGATCATTTGAATACAAGATATAATACACGAAATATCATAAATAAATAATGCATGAATGTTAAACTTTAAAAAACTAAAGATAGGTCAAAAGTATCAAACCAAATAAGAAATAGTCCAGACTCTTGTTTGGCACGTATTCATAGATAAGTATTTTCTCTTGTTCGTCAATACAAAATCCTATGAATGCCACTAGATTTCTATGTTGAAGCTTGGCTATTAATAAAACTTCATTTTTGAACTCCTCTACACCTTGCTTAGAATTTCTTGAGAGTCTCTTTACAGCTATATGTCTTCCATCAATAAGAACACCCTAAAAATGTAAATGATTATTTATGTCAAAAATAAGAACATATAAGAATTAAAATTTAATAACATATTTTCTTTTACCTTATAAACTTCTCCAAATCCACCTTTCCCAATCTTGTTTTCATTCGAAAAGTTATTTGTGGCTGCTTCAATTATTGCTAAATTGAATTGCAATGACTCTATAGTAGAACTTTCATGTCCAACTAAAAAAAATATTTTAATTGTTAAACCAATTTTGTAATTAAACTTCTTTAAAATTTATAATTGAAAATTTAGTGCTAAATTGTTTTTTTACCATACTTACAATTTTCTCTAAGAATAACTTTATTATTCTTTCTTGTTTTTCTTCGGATCAAATAGCAACAAAAAGTAAAAAGTATCCCCGATACAATAATGGTAGGGAAAATGATTACGATAATAGTTCGTGACCGGCCTTTCCCTACATTAAAAGAACATTACTTAACTTCGCGAAATCTTGTGCATTTCACAACCAAACATGCAATCATAGTATTCAATCGATAAAAACATTTCAAATAACTCCCAGAACACGAATCCATACTCAATTTTATGTAAACTACCTCAAATCTTGTCAAAAGATCATATCCCTAATTGTTTCTCATAGGATTTCCCACAGGAACTCACAGAACACTCTAATTCATATCAAAACTTATTTAATTTCAAATCAAATACATATTCATGCATCACATCCAACCAAGAACCCAACAGAAAACTCAGGTATTAAAACAGAAAACTTTCATAATTTGCCTATTCCTAAAGCATGCATTAGGCAAGGGATTGGGGGTCAATCCTACTACCCAACAATTATTCCTACACCCCTGATTGAGGTTTCTCACTCCCCCCTTACCTTGATGATCAGAAGATAAGGCACGAGCGAAATCTGGTTGTTCCTCTTCTCTGGGTTCTCCTTATTCTTCAGAAGGCGTAAGAAAGAAAGAAAATGAGTCAGAGGAGTGAATGCGTGGAATGACTCTGGTAACTTCTAATAACCTCTCTTTTCTCAAATTAATAAAATAATAATAATAATAATAATAATTAGCAAAAGACTACTATATCCTTCCTTCCCTTCTCATAAAATAATATAATTAAAACACATTTCCTCCTTTAATAAATAACATGAGCATAATCCTTCATAAATAACTTTCATAAAAATACATTTTATATCACTAATGAAAATAATAAATTACAACTCATGCCTTATAATAAAATAGTGCTCATATCAATAATTAAATGACACCAAAAATCCCTTAATAAATAGAGTTAATCACTTATACACTGCTAGTGTAAAGTTTTTTTACACTGTCAACCAATTATATCTTTTAACTATGTCATATCACTGTAAATACATTTACTTTTAACAGTGACATGACACAGTTAAAAGATATAATTGGTTGTTAGTGTAAAAAAACTTTACTATAATTGGTTGCTAGTGTAAAAAAACTTTACACTGGTAGTGTATAGGTGATTAACTCTAATAAATATTTTAAAATATTGAAAGACTACTACATCCTTCCTTCCCTTCTCATAAAATAATATAAAACACCTTTCCTCCTTTTTATTAAATAACATGAGCATAATCCTTCATAAATACCTTTCATAAAAATACATTCTATATCACTAATGAAAATAATAAATTACAATTAATGTTTTATAATAAAAATAGTGCTTATATCAATAATTAAATGATACCAAAATTAACTTGTAGAAAAAGCTTAATTCATTTGACCTTTTTATTCTCTTCTCTTGTAAGTGCTTAGAAGTTTATCTAAATAGAGACTTAGAATACTTTTAAATCTCTCTCTTATTTATGCCAGAGTCAATTTATCAATCCTACTCTCCTACTCTCCTACTCGCATAGATAGGAACAAGTACAAAATGATGGTACCATCTCTAATGTGGAAAGATCAAATTATAGTTCTAAAATATACACAACTATGAGTCTGTTTGGATACAAACTTAGAAGCAATTTTGAGAGTTTTTCTATTGAAAATTATTTTCAGTAGAGAAGCTCCCAAAATCACTTTTAACTTGTACCAAATAAACTCCAAGTGAAACAAAATAACATACGTATTTTAATATTTGCATTAGAATCAGAAAATATAGACAACTTCATGCCACATTTCTTATTGCAGAAGATGTTCATATTCATCATCTTGAAGCTCCATGCCTTCATCTACTTAAACTATCAACTAGACCTATGAATGCTAGTTTCGGAATGTTCTATCCACTGCTCCTGCCGGAACCAGTAGTAGGTTGCTCATATTAACCATGCGTGGACTAAAACATCTTTGGAACTTATAACAGTTGGCTAAAGTATTTGTACAGTTGCACTTCCTTATTTAAGAAAATGGTGCTATGCTATGGTCATTAACTAGAATAGATTAAAGTCCAAATCATATGACTATATGGAGCTAAGCCCATCTCAATTTATATTTTAAGGTTATAAAAAAATTCAGGGAAAGAACTGTCCTAGTCAGGCAGGCCTTGTTGCCAACTCTATTCAAACATATAAAGCCATTGGTCATTAGCAGCCTACTCTGGAATCAAGTTAATTTCCAATGTACTTTCAAGAGAAAATTATAATAATATCTGGATTCGTTTGCAAACATAAACACAAATAAGTGAATATTTGCATTAATGTTCAAACAAATCTACATGTTATACATTTAAAAAAAAATCTTATGGAATCAAAGTCTAAAAGTGGTCTGGCTGGCATACCAATTTATTTGCAACATCAGTGGTGCCCTAGTATAGCTGCTTAATGAGAGAAATTAGGATGGCAAAACAATCATGCCAAAACTAGTTTATGCCGCATGGAGATGCCATTATATTCTAATTTCAATGAAGTATAAAACACCAAATGTAACAGATTTCACTCCTTAGAGACAAAATTAGCAGTCAAACAAACTACCTTCCGCAGCTAATAATATACATTTGACATTTTAAGAAAATTTCATGTTTGGATTATATTGGAAATTGATATCTTTTTGCGGTAAGATAAGAATCAGAACCCAGCTAAAGAGCTATCTAAGGGTATTTGTTAGGAAATATTTAATACTACTTACATTCCTAAATATAGGAAACAAACGACCGTCTTATTGTGCTCCTAATTATAAGAAACATGGATCTACTTTAAAATGTATTAATTGATAATTTTCTTTTGCCCTTAATTTATTATGAGATTATTAATGAGTCTTCTACTCGTTTTCCATAAAAGTGAATGTATTTATTGGGAAATTAATACTATAAGTCATGTTCATTAGTCGAAAAAATTATTTCTTGACTTTTGAGTAGTGCCATTAAATATAATGACTATCTACACTATTTAATTCTAGGAGTATTTTTGAAATAAAATTTCAAATTATGACATTACTAACTAATTTAACTATTTTCATTGATCTTGATGAATTAGGAATTTGTTTTTTATATATAGAAACGATTGTAGTACATTTTATTAAATAGTTCCAATTGCTTAAAAAGCAAGAATAAAATGATTTTTTGTGTCTTCACTATAATGAATGCTTTCCTTTTCATTAAATACCTCTTATTTTTGTTTCCAATTCCATAACTAATTCCCTATGGCCATCAATGATGTTCTCCCAACAGATCAGAGTGAAAGAGAGTCTTAAATTGAGCTTCCCTACATAATTTTGTTCAATTGCATTGAGGAGATAGAATTAGTGCTTGAGTAGTTAAAACACATTGTAAAACTCTGTTAAAATCATTTATTAAGGAATTTGATCGCAGTAGGTTTAATACCAACTGTAAAGAACATCAAAAATGAAAATAAAAACAATACCAAAAAGCAACATGCACAAACCTGTTCAAAATTTTTTCTACGACCAAGGTCATAACGCCATTTTGGAGCAGTCCTCTTCTCATATGCCTTCTTACAAGAAGGGAGAAAATTCCATCAGTACCCACATTATACAAGCTATCCTCCCATTATGATAAAAATTAGAAAGTATTATATAGAATACAATAATGTTTTCACAACACATGGCAATGCACATGCATGTGCACATAAAAGGAATTTACCTCTTTTTCAGAATGACTAGCGCAAGCATTATCAAAGATTCATAATTTCAAAGCAATCAAACACTATCATTCAACTAAGACCAGAACTGTTTCTTGGGTAAAAAACAAAAAATGTAAGGTAGAGACATCCCAAATCAAACAAATAAAGGCAAGTTGCATGAAAACTGAGTTCAAACTCTTTCTTGTTAAGATAGACAGATTGACAGATTTCTGAAGTAGAAAAGGATGCAAAATTATACCTCATTAGTGGTTGCATTAGCAGCTACCAATAACATGTGCATGACAAGAAATCCCAAGAGACTCAAGCAAAAGGCCAGATTCAAAACTGCAGCTAATCCAACAGTGTTATAGAAAGTCAAATATGAAACTCACAAATCAATTAGAAACCATGTTTCAGGACCTAACCAAAAGTGAGAAAAGTTGTGGCAAGAGTGCCAGGTGTTCCAGGAATTTCTCCATCAGTAAAGAATGCTTTGAATTGTGGCAGTAATGTTATAGTCACAAGAGTGGTCTCAAGGAAAGTATAGAACTGTAATAAGATTAAACATTATAATATATAATTATGGAATTCCAAAATGACAGGTACAAATAACCCAACATATTCACAATATCATAAATCAATTAATAATTATATGTTATATGTTTTATACTAATATGACTTCTCATCTTGAAAATGATCAAAACTAAAACATCTTTTTCAAAATACAAATACCCGCAAAAGAATAGTAATTTCATGTCTAATTAGTGTCAGAGATATACTTGTGTTGGGGGTACTGGTAGGTAAGTTTCTAGTTCAGTGGCATAAACTGTTTGCTTCTGTTGTATTGTAACACTTAGCTATTAGTTCTTCAAAGTCTATCAGTGTTAGTTAGATGTTCTATCAGCGGTATCCAACTGTATAACAGACTCTAATAAATGTAAGAACTCAACAATGAGTTTAGGAGAATACAAAAAACCTAGTTTGGTTAGTTTCTCAGACTGGTATCTGAATTTTACTCTTTTCACTTTCTCTCAGTTTCCCACACTTCCTTTTATTTTTTCACATGCTCATATTCTTTCATGATATCTAGAGCCTGATGTCAGTCATGGTTTCACCATTACATCCTTTCCAGAATTAGGAAAACCACATCCTCCTTCGCCAGCTTTGGCAACAGCTCTAGCTACTTTTTTGCACTCAATTGGAGTGAGATTAGATGAGGAAATTTTTGTAAATCTGGAAGCAACAAGTGGTGGCTGTGATTAAAGGTCCCTGGCTTCATTGATTTATCATAAAAAGTTCCTGACTGTTTCTTCCATGAAGACCACGAATATGGCAGAGCCAATGAGGAGTGCTAGCACTGGGAACAAGAAGTTCTCCTGGCTTCTCTCTTTGTTATCAAAATTGTTACTTATTTGGGCGGTTATTTCATTCATGGAATCTATGGTATGAAATCCATCATTTATTCAATTCACAAACCAATGTCTGTTTGTTCCATCCTGAGTTAAGGAACAGAAAGAAAGGTAGCAGATCTACCTCCAACTATCTCAAGGATCATGGATCTCATTGGCTCCTTGATCATTGGTTTTTCCAGTTTCACAGAAAGAACATCACTGAAGCATATTCAGGGGATACATTTTGGTGTTTCTTTCTCTTCAACTTAGGAGTTAGGAGTAGAATTCTATATTTGAATTCTAGGTGGAGTGGTGGAATTGAATCCCCACACACAATTTTTAATCCCAAATAGTTACCATCTATTTCAATAATTCCTCATTCCATGCAACCCTAAAATTTAAGCAATTCCTGGGCTGCAATAGTGGAAAATTCAGGAAGTATCTTGCATTTTAATGGCAACTTGAAGCAGAAGGGAACATTAAGGAAGATCATACTGCACTTCAATGGAGATACTATCATTAAATATTATGGATCCAATGAAGATATGAATGAAGAACAAACCATTTCCACACTTACTAAGGTATGAAAATTAGATATTTGTTTCTTTCTTTTAACAGAAAGCAATTGGGATACGGAAGATGTTATGAAAACAATTCAATTCACATGAGTGATCACTAATCAGTTTAATAAGTTTTTGAGCTAAGGTGTCCATACCAAGAAAAGAAGGAAATACTTGTAATTCAAAGCCCCAACACAGTTGACTACCCAAACACAATGGTGGTCCATCTTCAGTACACATCGTCCACCTGGCATCAAACCAGAAAGGGTAAAAGTTATCCTAACTTGTTTCAATTTACCTTTATATAATCAAAACTTTTGTGTGCCAAAACTCACAAACAGAACAATGATGACATCGGGGTGGCTTGGGCTGGCTGCACTTCCGACAGTATCTAATCCGTTGATTTGAAGGATCAGATTGCAGATTACTTAATTCCACCTCATTTAATGGATCAACCTCTCCTCTCTCCTCATCAACGGAAGGCTTCCAGTTATGAGGAACAGTCCCCGGATCCGTAAACACAACAGCAAAGTAACTCCACAATAACATAACCAACTGCATAATCAAAGAGAAATATTATATGACCATATTCATTCAGTCCACATACTAAAAGACATAATACTTGAGTGATCTCCTGATGTAATTATTCAAAAGATTTCTTCTTGAGTAAAACTGCGTATCTTAATATGAAATGCAGAAGAGAAAGGGCTCCAAAACACTTTTATTCAATTACTAAACAAAAAGGAATAATATACCTAAGAAATTGATTTTTAACCATATTTAATGATTTAATGACGCCGTGTGATCCATGCCAGCTACACCTAGTGTGTTGTTGTACTTAGAAAATTCAAACTTTCCAAAATCACCATCAAAATTAAATACTCTAACCCACCATATAATCCCAAAACATCATAATGGTCATAACAGGCAAGCTAAATTTAAAAAACTGGCCCACTTCTTCCCCTGAAATTTGTTTTGAAAAGGTTCATTCTTTCACAGACAAATTCAAAACCCAAATGCCAGAAACACAGATTAACTCAATTCCCCATCCAAAAATAAAATGAAAACTATAATTTTGAATTGTTACAAAAAAAAAAAAAAAAAATTTAAAACTTACCAAAAAATGAAACAAAATCAACACCGCCAAGGAGATAAGAGTATCAAGGCCACCGAGAAACAAGGCAGGTCCATAATTAGTCAAAACGACAGCGTAATAGGTAACACCCACAAGCCCAAGAACCATCAATATCATGATCGAGCCTAATCCTCTCAGGGAAGTGCAAAACTTAAACACGTTCCAACCCATGACAACCCCGGATCTATACATGGCTAGAAAAAAAAAAAAGAAAAAAAAAAAGAGGAATCACAACACAATTTAGCGCCAAAAGATTGTTCCTTTACGCACTTGGCGGTGATCCCAGAAGCGGAACACAACACCAGCTGCCGGTGACGGAACCGGCAGAATCATCAATGTCCTCGAACAAGGAAACACGCGGGAGGATATGGCAGTGCTCCAATTCTGGAGAGAATGAAAAAAGAAAAGTTTTTTTTTTACTTGCGTGAATCTAGGGTTTATGCAGAATTGGACGGAAGATTGGGAATGTTTTGGACAATGACTGAAACGTGGAAAACTTGAAATTACCGATCATAGAAGACATTGTATCGGTATCATTGGTATAATCAACGTTCAAGTATTGCATGTGATTAAACTATTTATTATATTTTATAAATTTAAATATGTTTTTAATGCAACAAAATTAAATGGGTTTAGATTTTGGTTGTGTATTTTTTTTTATAAAATATTTTTTTCACAAAATAAGTAAATTTTAATTTCAGTTCTTGAAATTTTTTTTTTATTTTCATCTTTTAAAATTTAAAATTGTGACACTCTCTATCCCAACATATATATATAATAATAAAAAGAAATATCTTATTGGATAAAAAAATATTTAAAATTGAAACGACAATTCTAATAATCATGTGAGTAGAGAATTCATATTCATGTCCTTAATCCAAATAGCAAATAAAATTACAAAGAATAAAAATTGAATTTTTCAAAATATATACTTTAATAAATCATAAACAATGTCATATTCTAATTCTATCTATGTCTTGATGTCACATGTCTTATCAGAACAAAATCTCACATAGAAGCCTAAGCTCCATGTCCACATCCTGAGCCTCATGCAACTAATGGTCTCTTATATATCAAACAAGAAAAACAACACAAAAAAAGGGAGTGAGAAACATCTCACTCTGGCTCACAGTGTAGGAACGCACACCGGATAGCCAAACGCAAACAATAGATCAATCAACAATAGTTTATCTAATCATCCAAGTCATACAAATAGTAATTTATCATCATTTAATAATAAGAATGCATATGCATGGACACAGACTACATATTATCATGCATGTAACGCCAGTAAAACATCACATGGCATATTGCCGCTAGCAATACACAAAGAGTAGTCTAGGAGTACATGTCGGGTCACACCCTCTGCGCACTCTCACTAGAAGGATATACTACCAGAGTCTCGTCAGGATAGCTAAGCCGCGCAAGATACATCCCATGCACACAATGGGCGAGACTGGAACTTCCAAACCGAGCTATCCTCAAGGACTAATCCCCAAAGCTTTTACACTAGGGAGCCTTCTCTGGCGATGTATTCCATATCGTACCCATAAAACATTATGCAAATGATGCATGTCAAACAAGACCCTATGCATTAACACATCACATTATTATCATCACATCTCATCATCACATTCACATTATCACATTATCACATTATATTCACAATTCTCACAGAGCACTCTAATTCATATAAAACATATTTGTTTTCAAAATTAACAACATACTCATGCATCACATCCAACAAGGAACACAACAAAGCAATTACAAGGCAAAATAGAAAACATTCATATTTTGCCCGTTTTCTCATAGGATTTCCTGTAGGAACCCACAGAGCACTCTAATTCATATAAAACATATTTGTTTTCAAAATTAACAACATACTCATGCATCACATCCAACAAGGAACACAACAAAGCAATTACAAGGCAAAATAGAAATATTCCTATTTTGCCTGCTGCTCATAGGGTTCTCTCAAGAACCCATAGAGCGTTCCAATTTATGCAATAAACATTTAAAGTAAGACAACTCACGTATATAATTATTATCACAATTAAATTTACTCATACAAGCACCAATGCACTCCCTTAGAGTTTCCCGTAGGAAGCCATAGGAATACCAAATTCCACAATCATAGCCTAAATAAAGTTTCTATTCATACACGCATATTAATTAAGTAATTGGAATATACAAGAAAAATATGACATGCAACAAACACAAGATTGGGGGTCAATCCCACTACCCAGCATACAATCCCACACCCAGAGCGAGATTTCTAACTCCCTCCTTACCTCGATAAACAGGGGTTGAAACTGAAGCCGGATCTCCTCCTCCGAGTTCCCCTTGGTCTCCAGAAAGTGTAGAAGAAAAAGGGACAAAAATGAAAAATGCATTTTTCTAGAGTGCCAAAATGACATCAAGATTTGGCCAGAACGGCCCGTTCCGAATCCGGAACGGCCCGTTCCGAATCCGGAACGGCCCGTTCTGGGCACATAGAACATGTACAAAAGCCTCTCTCAGGCCCGTTCCAAAACTAGAACGTCCTGTTCAAAGTCAATACTTTATTCTTTAAAACCACATCCGGAACGGCCCGTTCTGGGTTGAAATTTTACCTATGCATGCTTGAGTTGGAACGTTCCGTTCCCAAATTGGAACGGCCCGTTCCGGGACTATGAAATAAATAAATAAATAAATAACACACACACACACATATATATATATATATATATCAAATTAAAATAAAATATTAATACAATTTAAAACATGATTTTCTTCAAATAATAATTATAACAAAATATCATAATTAATAATATTATACAAAATAATTTTCATAAATGATTATTATTAAAAACTTTTAAAAATTCAATCAAACCCATTTAATTAATCAAAATAATTATAAAGAAATAATCTTCATAAATGCAAAAATAAATAATAATTATTCGTAGTATTAGTAGAAAAATTCAGGGTGTTACAAAAATCATTATACTTTTTTACCTTAACAACAATTTTAATGTAGATAAATAATATTTAGTTAAGATTTTATATATAAAAAAAATTAAAGATATCAAACTTAATATGATATCACCAATAATGTTTAGTATTATATGAAAGGATCACTTAGACCTTTAATAAATAAATAAGTTAAAAAGTAATTAAATAATAAAAAAGACTAAAAATATTTATTCTAAATTTAATGATGAAAAATAAAAATAAATTATAAAGACTAAAATCAAAATTTATTTATTTTGCGAGTATTAAAAATATATTTAAGTTTATTTTATATTTATGTGGTGTAAATTTAGGTATTTGAAAATATAAGTCATCCTTACTTTAATTCTTAAAAATAAAGAAATTATGAATGAGTTCTTAAAAGTTTTAATAGTTTCGTTTAAGTCCCTAAAAGTGATCAGTTATTGTCACTTTATTTTCTAATATATATTAATATTATCATTTAACTAAAAAAAATTAATTTTAAATTAAAATGAGTAACATTTTACACTTTATGAGATTTTCTTTTATATTTCCAAAGATTAAAGCGATTATGACATATATTTTTAAGGATTTGAATGGTACGTAGTATTTATGTGTGTTTTATTTATTTAAAAACTATTGTAACACATGGGCATATTAAGTTTAGGATTTTAGTTTTATAATATTAATTCTTTTAATTATTCTTTTATTTTTATAGTTTCATCAATTTTATTTTTTAGTCTTTATAATTAAAGATATTTTATTTTATTATTATACATATCATGTTTATTTTCTTTTAACTTTTGGCATCTATTTTTATAGAAACTAAAATAAAAAAATTTATAGAAGTATAAAAACTAAAAAAAATAAAAATGTAAAAAAAAAGAAAATAAAAATAATATATAAGGACTAAAATAAATTATTTTTAATTGTAAAAACTAAAAAATATGTGTAATAAATATTTATCATGTACATTTCGCATGCTAAATGTTATATATATATATATATATATAAATAATATATTATATATCAAATAAATACTATACTTTAAATATATAAATTATATTTAAATTCTTTATAATACAAACATATAAATTTATATTATAGTACAATCTGATTTTAATTATTAATTATTTATTTAAAAATATTATATTTTAATTTATAAATAAATAATAAATAAAAATATTGAATTATATAAAAAATATTGAAACCAATTAAATAATAAATTGTAAAAAAATTCTAAAAATATTTATGTCAAATAATAGTCCCTAAAAATATTTTTTTAATTATATAATCATTCACAATTAATATATAAGGGTTTTTTGATTTGGTTATTTTTAGATTCTCTATATTGGTATTTAAATTAATTCAGGTCAAGCCAATATAAATTTTTTTATAGCAATTTTAATGTCATTTCATGAGTCAAAGTAGAAAAATACTTTCAATATTGATTATTGGGCAAGTTTGCTTACACTTAAAAAAGGAGATTATAAAAAAAGTGCTTCTTAAAAAATTATTACTTTTTTAAAAGTAGATAAAATTTACTTAATAAAAAACAAAAATTTACCTATTTTAAATCGCATGGATAACAATCATATTAGATTATTATTTCATGTCATCATCCATATGCACCATATTTTAATCTCTATTCATAAGAATTTAAAAAAATATATAATTTTTTTAGTGAAAAGAATTATAGAATATTGAAGAATTTTAATGGGTAGCTATGAATCAAAACTTAAAGCACATGAATGATGACAGAAAATACTAATTTAATGCAATTGTTTAAATATAAAGATATAAATATTATTTTGTGAAATTTTATAAATTATAAATGAATTTTATCATTGGAGAATAAATTATAAAAGATAAAAGATAAAAATTAATTATAAGCATAAGAAGTATTAAATCTTTAAATTTCAAACTCACTACTTCAACACATAATTGAATGCATGTGTCGTATAGGGATGTGAGAAGCTTTCCAATTTTAATGCCAATACCATATGCATCTCTCTCTTTTCCCTTACAAAGTTTAGGTAATTTAGGTTAATGGTGCTACACATATATTATTCAAGTTTGAATTCTCACTACATTTCTTATCCATTCCATAAGTTTTTAGTGTATAAGTAACATTAATAAAAGTCATTAGGAAAAAATATTAATGTCTACATTAAAAAATATAGTAATGAGCAAGAATTACACACAGAAAAATAAAGAGGTTTAAATTCATGTTATCTACATTATGTATGATCTTCATATCACCGGCAAAAATCAAACAAAGCCCTTAAATATGCATTTGGATGAGAATTGAAGGAAATTAATTTTAAATAATATGATTTAAGTTTAAATGTTTTTATTATAAAATTGAATTAACAGTAAAATCCTGTATAAATTTTTTATTTAATCCAAAAAATCACCTAGAATCACTTCAACTTAGAATCAAACATGCACTAAATTAAACAAGTCATCACTTTACAAGTAAAGTAAGGTTATATTAATTAATGAAAATATTAACCAACGATGTATGTATATGCTACACATGAACACGAGGTAAACTGTATGTTTTTTTTATGTAAGTGTCACTTCGAGCTTAAGTGTTGTCATGTGCATTTGTATGAATATTATCTATTTGGGTGCATAATAAAGATTTTAACTTTCACTACAAGAAAAATGACATGGAGTGATAGATAAAAACTATCACTAAAAAACCTTGTAGGTACAATTCAATTATACATTTATTCATGGACATTTTATTTATACATTATGAGAGTCTTATAACCACATTTATATACTGTCACTATAATCTTAATTAATTTTGATTTAATGTATTGGCTTCATTATTCGCACGTAAAAGTTGTTGGTTTGCACTTGCAGATCTTAGATGTGGATAAAATTAAAATTATAGAAAAATAATAATTTATACCTACAATTTTCATTTATCATTTAATATTATTTAACTAACTTAATTATTTTTTAATATTGCATAATTTTTTGTTAATATTAATTATTTACGTATTTTCAATAAAGTATAATTTAATATGATTTCAATTTTTAGATATATTAATAGAAATAGTTGTGAAATGTAGTATAATACAATTTTTAAGCGAAAAATGTTTAACGAATGACTTAAATATATATATA